GTGCATCCCAAGGTAGTACTTTACCTCCCCAAGGTTCTTGCACTTGAAGTTCTCCATCAGCTGCTGCTGCACTTTCTGGATCTCTTTCATGCTGCTGCTGAAGAGAAGAATGTCGTCCACGTAGACCAGAAACAGCACCAGCTTCTCCCCCTCCCCCTTGAGAAAGAGACTCTCATCACAGCTGCTGGTCCTGAATCCCATCTCCTCTAAAACAGCTGCCAACTTCTGGTACCAGCAGCGTGGCACCTGCTTCAAGCCGTAGATGGACTTTTTCAGCTTGCACACCCTGCCCGTACCATCCTCATACCCAGGCGGCTGCGTCATGTACACATCCTCCTCTAAAATCCCATTGAGGAATGCCGTTGATATATCCATCTGAATGATGAATTTCCCACTAACGGCTGCATCTGCCAACAAGACACGGAAGGTAGGGGGTTTGGCAGTGGGAGCAAAGATCTCATTGAAGTCCCGCTTCTCCTTCTGCATAAACCCCTTAGCCACCAACCTACTCTTGTAGATGGTGACCTGCCCTTGTCGTCAGTCTTGATCCTTAGCACCCACTTGCATTGTACCGCTTTCTTTCCCTCAGGCAGCACCACTAGTTCCCAAGTCCCATTCTCCAGCAGGCTCTGGTACTCAGCATCCCTAGAAGCCAGCCACTTGTCCCTATCTGGTCCAGCTAATGCCTCCTCCATGCTAGCTGGTTCCTCTGGTGCAGGAGCAAGAAAACAGTACGCAGGCTCATCCTCCTCATCCGGGTCATTGCCATGAGGTAAAATCAGCATTGCCTCCTCATTCCCAAGCTGCTGCTCTGCTACATCAGATCCTGCAGTCAGCTTCATTGTTGCCATGCGGGTGCGCCCTGGCCTAGAGACGGGTGTTTCCCACCCCTTCATAACGACACCCTTCAGCTTCCTCCTTTGCGGTAGCTTAGGCACCTTACCTTTGCTCTGCTGCTGCTCTCCTCTTTCAGATCCAGCAGCTTCACCAGTGCTATCACTAACCTCTCCTCCATCAGCAGGTGCCTCCTGTACCTTCTCTCCATCACCACCCCCCGCAGCTGCCTCCTCTCCCTCCTCCCACACACTAGGAGTCAGGTCCAGCTGCATGGTGATCTGCTCCATCTGCTGGGACACCCTTGCCTCCGGCTGTTTCTCCCAGCTCCCATACATCATGCCTTCAATGAATTTCACATCCCTGCTGTCAAACAACACACCCTTGGATGGTTCCCACAGCAGCCATCCCTTGCTCTCAGCAGCCAGCCCCAAATGCACACACCAGATTGCACTCGCCCCCAACTTACTGCGGTAGGTCTTGGGGACGTGGGCGACTGCCATGCAACCGAACACCCTCAGCATGTCCACCGGCGGCTTCCTCCCAAGCCACCTCTCCAACGGCACCCACGAGTCATCCCCAACCTTGGTGAGCACCCTGTTCCTAGCGACAGTGGCGTGCCGGACAGCATGAGGCCACATAGAATTGCTCAGCCCAGATTCTATGAGCAGCGCCCTAGCTGTCTCCAGAATGGTCCGGTTTGCCCGTTCTGCTACACCATTGGACTGTGGGGTATAAGCCGTGGTCAGCTCTCTCTGGATGCCCTGCTTCTTGAGCCAGGCCGTCATTTCAGCTCCAAGGAACTCACCACCCCGGTCTGTCCTAATCCGCTTCACTACACACTCCGCCTGCTTCTCCACGAATGGCAGCCAATCGTCCCGTATCGTGGAGGCGGCGTGGTCCTTCTGCTTCAGCGGATACGCCCACATCAGCCTGCTCCAGTCATCCACAATTGTAAGAAAATACCGCTCCCCCTTGTGCCCTTGCACCGGCAGCGGCCCCACCAAGTCCATGTGGACCAGCTCCAACGGCTTCTTGCTCCTGCCAGCCACACTATGGAAGGGAAAACGGGTGAACTTTGAAAGGAGGCAAATTTCACAGTTATCATCGGGTGGTTGTCCGTTCAGTTTCAGACCCTTAACAGCTCCATCCTTCTCCAGCTGCTTCAGCAAAGGCATTGCCACATGCCCAAAGCGTCGGTGTGCCGTTGCCCAATCCGTCTCCCCAGATCTGGCCGACACTTTCACACCAACGCCTCCAACGGCGTTGCACCCCCCCTGGGATGCAGACCCCTCTCCAGCCTGCCCCCCACCGTGCTACACCAACGCCGGCAGCTGCCACATAGATCTGTACACATCCTTGCTCTCATGCAGATCCCAAAGCACCCGATTGCCCAGCTGCCCCTTGTAAGTGCGAGCCCCATCCGTGTTGGTGTTCACCCCAATCTTGCCAAGCTTACGGAGCGAGATAAGGTTGGCCTTTAGTTCGGGGACGAGGAGAACGTCGTGCAGCACCACCGGCTTGCCATCCGCTCCCTTAAACGCAGCTCGTCCCGCACCAGCCACCTTCAACATGTGTCCAGAGGCGGAGCACACCTCATTGATTGGTGGAGCGCTTACGTTGTCCAACAGGTCCTTGCGCGGCGTCATCGTCCAAGCAGCACCCGTGTCCAACACCCAAAAGTCCAGGGGGTGCAGCTCTGCTCCAACCTTGGCAGATGCGTCTCCTTGCTCCCCCTTGTCTCCCACATGGAAGAATTGGCCCGCGGTGCGCTCCTTCTTCTTCTCCGCACCGCCGTTGCCCTTCGGGTTGTTGTCGGACGAATCAGCGACCATGTTCGCGCCGTTTTTCTGGTTCCTTCGCGCGCCGCCATCCTGGTGACGATTCTGGGGGGTCCATCCATCGGGTTTCTTATAGCACAAAAACCAGGGGTGCCCTTCCTTCTCACAATACCAGCAACTCCCTTTCATTTTGCACCGCGACCCCAATCTTCCTTGCATCCCGTAGCCGCTGCTGCCGTCGTCCCCACCCCTCAGTTGGCGGCGACGGAAGTCCTCCTCCAGAATCTTCGTCCGCACCCACTCGAGCGTCCACAAGCTCTGGTTCTGCGGCAGGCTCAATCCGCTCGTGAATTGAAGCCACGATTCCGGCAGCAGCGAGAGCATCTTCAGGCACTTGGTCTGCTCCAGGTAGGTGATTCCCGCGATCGCCAGCTTCGTGTAGAAATCACGCATCTTGTCCAGGATGGGTTGCACCGGCTCTCCCTCGCTCAGGCGCAACGCGGACAGCTCCCTCTCCATCATGAGCGTAGCGGCGACGGAGGTCGGGGCGTGCAGCTCCTTCAACACGGTCCACGCCTTCGGACCGCACTCAACCTCCGGCAGCAGGTGCATGACGTGGTGATGCTGGTTCAGCTCCAAACTCTGCGACATCAAGTAGAAGCCAACCGAGGCGCGCTCGTCCCAATCTTCCTGAAGGGCGGGGTCACTCGGTCTAGGCTCCTCCCCAATCATTAATTTCAGCAAACCGATCTGACGGAAATAGAGTTGCATTTTCCATGCCCAATCATCATAGCCCTCACCATTGAACTTCTCGACGGTGAAGTTTTTCAGCACCTCCTTGATCAGCGAGCCCTGGCTTGTTCGCGCTCCCCTTGGCGCCGAAACACCAGAATCTTGGCTGCCGCTACGATCTTGGGCTGAAGATTCACCAGCTCCCGCCGAGGTGTTGCCCGCCATAGCTACCTATAATGAGGATCACTATAACGCAGCTCTGATACCAGCTTGTTGGTGCAAGGGCCTAATAAACTCAAGCTACTAAGACGCAATTCAAACTTAAACCTCTCCTCGGGGTCACCTCCAAGGGTCCCTGGGTGCCTGGTACAAGACCAGCCCCTATCCTTGGGTCCGAGTTTGTAGAGAGAGGGATAAGAAGAACGCAATCAAAATAGCGAGAGTACCTTGAACGTCGCGCAGCGTGCCGTGCAGACCGTCGATCGGATTTAGCTGAGAATTTGCTATATCGAAGCTCGCTCCAAGAGCTTTAAATATGCCAAGTTACCTCGCAAAAAGTTCTGCCATTACGGAGTTATGGCTCGGACAGCGTTTGCCTAGCGTTGGAGTGCTAGCGTACTAGCGTTGACTCGGGTAGCATTCCGCCGTCGAACCGCGTAGACACGAAATTCCAGCAAGGAAGGAATCCGCTTGAATCAATTGACTATATGCAGGTACAAACAGAGAAGGAATAAATAGTTCTAGCTAGCAAGGACCTTGGGAATCAACCTGGGAACAACCAGGGATGATCCCAAATAATTCCAAGCAACAGAACCAACCTGGCTGGACAAAATAGCAGGTGGTAGGTTGGTAAACAACCTCTGGTTCTGTTTTTCCAACCTGAGAAAACAACAACCAGGTTCAGGTTCTAAAAACAGAACCTGTTTTGTCTTTGCCCAAGCAGCCAAATGCTGGTTCCGCTGGTTTCCCCTGGCCTTGTAGCATGCAGATACAGACAAACAACATCCAACCTTCACCTAAATTGTACCCCTATAGTGCCTGCCCTGCTACACTATAGTCAACCAAACAAAACAGTACAATTTCGAGTTGGATAGAACTGAATCCGCGCAATCAATTCAACCGTCCTTGGATGTTGGGTTCCTTTGCGAGCTCGTCCTTTCTGCTTGCACTGTTCATAGCGCGTACAATGTTGTGCCGAAGCGCACATTGCGCGAGTATCTGCGAATGCTTCAAGCGAAATTGCGAAAGCAAACAAACACACGAACACACCATTCACACGCAAATGCATTCGCACACGCATACTCGTACAAACAGACGGCAGGATGCCGTGCAATGCGAATTTGCACCCAACAACAAAGAACTCGGGCGGCCTCCGAAGTCGACCTGACTTCCGGGGTTCAGGCGGAACCCCCACCTCGTCATGGTCGGTGGACTCCTCGTCGGCCGACTGCTCCCCTTCATCTTCACCGCCTCCGCCGCCGTCGTTGTTCTGCTGCACCTCGGTCGGCGTCCCGACCGACTTCTCCCCTGCGGTCAGCTCGCCTACCGATTGCCATCTCGCCGACTACTCCTTGGTCGGCCTTGTTGCTGCCTGCTCCCCTGTCGGCTGCGCCTGCTCAGCCTGCTGCTTCCCCGGCTGCCCCTCTGTCGACTTCACTTCCAGGCCGACTTGCTGGGCGTCACGTCGGCCACCGGCGATGCTCTTGGTCGGCGCCACAGGCGACGCCTCCCCTCATCGCCGGAGGCCGACGCCGGAGTCAGCCCACGCAGGTCGGCGACGAGGGGAGGGGCAGGGGAAGGGGAGGAAGGGTGGACGACCTCGGCGTCCTCATCAGCAAGCTCACCGACCTCGGCGAGCAGAGGGAGCGTTGCCGTCGAGGTATTCGTCGGTGTGGTCACCAGCATCCGTCCTGACACCGGCCCATTCTCTGACTTCCACACCTCAAGCGACATGATCTCGTAGATCACCACGTCCGACGAGGTGACCACCCGGTTGTCGGCGATGTCGAGGAGCTCCCAGCCCTTGCTCTCCTCCGACACGCCGAGATGAAGGCCCCACTTGGCCTTCGGCTTCAGCTTCCCACCACGCTGCTGCTCGGGGACGAGGAATTGCGCCATGCAGCCCCACACGCGCGCCAGCGACAGGTCGGGCTTCGTCCCGGTCAGCAGCCCTGGGACGGCGTCGTCCCCGGCGTCGCCGACCGCTCCAGGCAGTTGCGGACCCAGACGGCCTGCCGCAGAGCGAGGTGCCACCAGTGGTGCTGCACGCCCATGTGCAGCAGCATCGTCCGCACCGACTCCACCACCGTCCGCATCTCCCGCTCCGCCATGCCGTTCTGCTGCGGGGTGTAGGGGCAGGTCAGGTCGTGGACGATCCCCTTGCCGTCCACAAAGGCGGTGAACTCCTTGCCGAGGAACTCCCCTCCTCGGTCAGAGCGCAGCTGCAACACCGACTTCTTCGTCTGCCGCTCCACCAGCACCAGCTGTTGGTGTAAGGGCCTAATAAACTCAAGCTATTAGGACTTAATCAAACTTAAAACCTCTCCTCGGGGTCACCTTCAAGGGTCCCTGGGTGCCTGGTACAAGACCAGCCCCTATCCTCGGGTCCGAGTTGGTAGAGAGAGGGATCAAGAAGGACTTAGTCAAAACAGCAAGAGTACCTTGAACGTCGCGCAGCGTGCCGTGCAGACCGTCGATCGGATTAAGCTGAGAATTCGCTATATCGAAGCTCGCTCCAAGAGCTTTAAAATGAGCCAAGTTGCCTCGCGAAAAGTTCTGCCATTACTAAGTTCTGGCTCGGACAGCGTTTGCCTAGCGTTGGAGTGCTAGCATACTAGCGTTGACTCGGGTAGCATTCCGCCAACGAACCGCGTAGAAACGAAATTCCAGCGAGGAAGGAATTCGCTTGAATCAATTTGACTATATTCAGGTACAAACAGAGAAGGAATAAATAGTTCTAGCTAGCAAGGACCTTGGGAATCAACCTGGGAACAACCAGGGATGATCCCAAATAATTCCAAGCAACAGAACCAACCTGGCTGGACAAAATAGTAGGTGGTAGGTTGGTAAACAACCTCTGGTTCTGTTTTTCCAACCTGGGAAAACAACAACCAGGTTCAGGTTCTAAAAACAGAACCTGTTTTGTCTTTGCCCAACCAGCCAAATGCTGGTTCCGCTGGTTTCCCCTGGCCTTGTAGCATGCAGATACAGACAAACAACATCCAACCTTCACCTAAATTGTACCCCTATAGTGCCTCCCCTGCTACACTATAGTTAACCAAACAAAACAGTACAATTCCGAGTTGGATAGAACTGAATCTGCGCAATCAACTCAACCGAACTGCAAAGCTTTCATCTTGGGTTCCTTTGCGAGCTCGTCCTTTCTGCTTGCACTGTTCATAGCGCATACAATGTTGTGCCGAAGCGCACATTGCGCGAGTACCTGCAAATGCATCAAGCGAAAAATGCGAAAGCAAACAAACACACGAACACACCATTCACACGCAAATGCATTCGCACACGCATACTCGTACAAACAGACGGCAGGATGTCGTGCAATGTAAATTTGCACCCAACACACTCCCCCTCAGCCTGCCGGCTGCATCCCCGTCATTCCATGCTAGTTCATGCTCATTCCACTCATGCGCACACAACGCCAATGAGGCTCATCCGCAAGCCTCTTGGTGAGAAAGTCTGCTGGCTGCTGGTGAGTCTTGATGTAGATCGGATGCACCGTCCCCCTCTTCACCTCCTTACGCAGCCAGTGCCACTTGATACGCATGTGCTTGTTCAGCCCATGAAGCACAGCGTTTCTGGCCATCCCAAGAGCCCCCTTGCTATCACAAAACAGCGGCGTAGCAACTTTCTGCTCCTGGCCAATCTCCTCTAACAGCCTCCTCAGCCAAATCACCTCCTTCACCCCATGGAACATCGCCATGTACTCTGATTCTACGGAAGAGAGTGCCGTCTCCGTCTGCTTCTTGGACCTCCAACTAACAGGTCCTCCCCCAACTACGCAGATGTATCCTCCAACAGATGAGGAATCCTCCTTCTCAGAAGCCCACGTAGCATCGGTAAAGCAAGTGAGAAATAGCTTGCCTTCTCCAAGCCTCTCCCCCTTCTCTTTCAGCACCTCCACCCCTTTCTGCTTCACCTGTGCAGATGCGGAGTATTGAACTCCAATGCTTGGGTGAGAGTTCAGGTACTTCACCACACGCTCAGCTGCATCCACCTGCTCCTCTGATGGATTCTGCACCACCCTAGCCAGCTGCCCAACCGAGAAAGAGATGTCGGGCCTCGTGTGAACTGCTGCGTACAAGAGGCTGCCCACCAAGGACTGAAATTGCTGCTGCTCTTCAGCTTCAACCCCTTCATCCTCTGCAGCCTTCACAAGCTTGAATTCTGCTGGCAGGGGAGTTGCAACCTTGCGCTCATTCTCAATCCCATACTTCTCCCCCAGCTCCTTGATGAACTTCTCCTGGTGCAGCTTCAACCACCTGTGATCTGGATCCCTCTCCACGTGCATCCCGAGGTAGTACTTTACCTCCCCAAGGTTCTTGCACTTGAAGTTTTCCATCAGTTGCTGCTGCACTTTCTGGATCTCCTTCATGCTGCTGCTGAAGAGAAGAATGTCGTCCACGTAGACCAGAAACAGCACCAGCTTCTCCCCCTCGCCCTTGAGAAAGAGGCTCTCATCACAGCTGCTGGTCCTGAATCCCATCTCCTCTAAAACAGCTGCCAACTTCTGGTACCAGCAGCGTGGCGCCTGCTTCAAGCCGTAGATGGACTTGTTGAGCTTGCACACCCTGCCCGTACCATCCTCATACCCAGGCGGCTGCGTCATGTACACATCCTCCTCTAAAATCCCATTCAGGAATGCCGTTGAAATATCCATCTGAATGATGAATTTCCCACTAACAGCTGCATCTGCCAACAAGACACGGAGGGTAGGGGGTTTGGCAGTGGGAGCAAAGATCTCGTTGAAGTCCTGCTTCTCCTTCTGCATAAACCCCTTCGCCACCAGCCTACTCTTGTAGATGGTGACCTGCCCCTTGTCATCGGTCTTGATCTTCAGCACCCACTTGCATTGTATCGCTTTCTTCCCATCAGGCAGCACCACCAGATCCCATGTCCTATTCTCCAGCAGACTCTGGTACTCAGCATCCCTAGAAGCCAGCCACTTGTCCCTATCTGGTCCAGCTAATGCCTCCTCCATGCTAGCTGGTTCCTCTGGTGCAGGGGCAAGAAAACAGTACGCAGGCTCATCCTCCTCATCCGGGTCATAGCCATGAGGTAGAATCAGCAATGCCTCTTCTGTTGGGTGCAAATTTACATTGCACGACATCCTGCCGTCTGTTTGTACGAGTATGCGTGTGCGAATGCATTTGCGTGTGAATGGTGTGTTCGTGTGTTTGTTTGCTTTCGCTTTTTTCGCTTGATGCATTTGCAGGTACTCGCGCAATGTGCGCTTCGGCACAACATTGTATGCGCTATGAACAGTGCAAGCAGAAAGGACGAGCTCGCAAAGGAACCCAAGATGGAAGCTTTGCAGTTCGGTTGAGTTGATTGCGCAGATTCAGTTCTATCCAACTCGGAATTGTACTGTTTTGTTTGGTTAACTATAGTGTAGCAGGGAAGGCACTATAGGGGTACAATTTAGGTGAAGGTTGGATGTTGTTTGTCTGTATCTGCATGCTACAAGGCCAGGGGAAACCAGCGGAACCAGCATTTGGCTGGTTGGGCAAAGACAAAACAGGTTCTGTTTTTAGAACCTGAACCTGGTTGTTGTTTTCCCAGGTTGGAAAAACAGAACCAGAGGTTGTTTACCAACCTACCACCTGCTATTTTGTCCAGCCAGGTTGGTTCTGTTGCTTGGAATTATTTGGGATCATCCCTGGTTGTTCCCAGGTTGATTCCCAAGGTCCTTGCTAGCTATAACTATTTAATCCTTCTCTGTTTGTACCTGAATATAGTCAAATTGATTCAAGCGAATTCCTTCCTCGCTGGAATTTCGTTTCTGCGCTATTCGACGGCGGAATGCTACCCGAGTCAACGCTAGTATGCTAGCACTCCAACGCTAGGCAAACGCTGTCCGAGCCAGAACTTAGTAATGGCAGAACTTTTCGCGAGGCAACTTGACTCATTTTAAAGCTCTTGGAGCGAGCTTCGATATAGCGAATTCTCAGCTTAATCCGATCGACGGTCTGCACGGCACGCTGCGCGACGTTCAAGGTACTCTTGCTGTTTTGACTAAGTCCTTCTTGATCCCTCTCTCTACAAACTCGGACCCGAGGATAGGGGCTGGTCTTATACCAGGCACCCAGGGACCCTTGGAGGTGACCCCGAGGAGAGGTTTTAAGTTTGATTAAGTCCTAATAGCTTGAGTTTATTAGGCCCTTACACCAACAAGCTGGTATCAGAGCTGCGTTATAGTGATCCTCGTTATAGGTAGCTATGGCGGGCAACACCTCGGCGGGAGCTGGTGAATCTTCAGCCCAAGATCGTAGCGGCAGCCAAGATTCTGGTATTTCAGTGCCAAGGGGAGCGCGAACAAACCAGGGCTCGCTTGTCAAGGAGGTGCTGAAGAATTTCACCGTCGAGAAGTTCAATGGTGAGGGCTATGATGATTGGGCCTGGAAAATGCAATTATATTTCCGTCAGATCGGTTTGCTGAAACTAATGATTGGGGAGGAGCCTAGACCGAGTGACCCCACGCTGCAGGAAGATTGGGACGAGCGCTCCTCGGCTGGCTACTATTTGATGTCGCAGAGTTTGGAGCTGAACCAGCGTCACCACGTCATGCACCTGCTGCCGGAGGTTGAATGCGGTCCGAAGGCGTGGACCGTGTTGAAGGAGCTGCACGCCCCGACCTCCGTTGTCGCAACGTTGATGCTGGAGAGGGAGCTGTCCGCGTTGCGCCTGAGCGAGGGAGAGCCGGTGCAACCAGTCCTGGACAAGATGCGCGACCTCTACGCGAAGTTGGCGACCGCGGGAATCACCTACCCGGAGCAGACCAAGTGCTTGAAGATGCTCTCGCTGCTGCCAGAATCGTGGCTTCAATTTACGAGCGGATTGAGCCTGCCGCAGAACCAGAGCTTGTGGACGCTCGAGTGGGTGCGGACGAAGATTCTGGAGGAGGACTTCCGTCGCCGCCAACTGAGGGGTGGAGACGACGGCAGCAGCGGCTACGGGATGCAAGGGAGCCGACGTGGCAGAGGACGTGGCTTCGGTGGTGCTGGACGCGGTGCAAAGAAAGACGACGACTCCAACGACCAACAAGGAGGTACCGGTTGGGGTCGCGGTGCGAAATCTGGACGTGGGGGCAAGTCGG